ATATGTACAAGAGTTGCTCCTGCTTGACATTATTGCCCGTGGATATATAAAGTTGCTGTTGCTTCAATTATGGCTTCCAGGGGGAATATATAATAACCTGCTGCCTTGTGTGCTTCCCGAGGAGTATACGAGACTGTTCTTCGGCGTGGAGTTCGTACCTCACCACAGTTGGCTGTTCCAGTGGGATCGCACCCTGCTCGGTTGTCAAGATCCTTCATAACTTTGGTTTGTTCAACGACCAAGTGGTCTCTTGCTGGAGCACATTGACCTTGAAAAGGGGTGTGTGTAGCGTTGTGTGTAGCGTCATGAATATGCTATTTTCTGCCCTTAACAGCTGCCCTTTTCCAGAAGACAGAAGAAGGACGAAGAACGCTTTTCATTAGTTAATCAAAGAACTTTATTTGTAATAATCAAAACAAATGTTGGTCAATAATAATCAGGTGACTGATCTGTGAAATCAATGTTATGATTTATGTGTTTAATGAATAACAGGGCTAACTCAGCCAGACATCCTGATTCACACAAGGTAAACACATGACACATTGTTCTCATCCAATCAGAACTTCCTTTCTGTTGCAGGGCAGAGTCTGGGGTGTTTACCGGCCCGGAAGCAATCGACGATCCAGAGCTGCGCACCTCATCTAGCGATGTTTGTCCGGTCCCGGGAAAACGTCGGAGGAAAAGAGGTAAACGAGCAGGAATCAAGGTGAGAATAAGACTTCTCTTGAAGCGTGGTTTATCTGGTAAACATCGGCGCAATCTTCTAGCTTCTTGTCCTTTGTTTGGTGACCTGAGCGCTACTTCCGCATTTCCGCCAGGCCGCGTTGCAGCGCAGTTCATCCGTCCAAGTTTTTTAAGGTCGGTTTATCCTCATTCCTCAGTGGTTTCTCCTCCTGTTCCCTCCATAACCCTGCTAATTTACGTCCACTAACTCCAGCTGTTTCTGTAGCTTCTGATTCCTCCTCCTCACTCAGCATGGCTCTATTAAATTCCCGCTCTGTTAACAATAAGACCTTCCTGCTCAATGATCTAATTCTGTCTAAAAACCTGGATTTTCTGTTTCTGACTGAAGTTTGGCAGCAAACATCTGATTATTCTGGTCAGATTGAACTCTGCCCGAGTGGTTATTCTTTTCTTAGCCAGACCCGGGGTTCTGGTCGTGGTGGAGGCCTAGCTGTTGTTTTCAGAGACCATCTTCCATGTAGCTCTACAACCTCTGGTCACTTTGCTTCCTTTGAACTGCAGCTGATTAAAGTCGGGCGTAAGGACCCGTTCTACTGTGCTGTGGTCTATCGTCCACCTAGTCCAAACAGTTCTTTCCTTCAGGAGTTTAGTGACTTTCTATCCTCTGTGAAGCTGTCCAAACTGGTGATTGTTGGTGACTTTAACATCCACGTTGATGATCCTTCCAATCTCTTTGCCATGAATTTCTCCAGCCTCATGGACACCTGCGGCTTTACCCAGCATGTTTCTGGCCCCACACACACCAGGGGGCACACTCTAGACCTTGTTTTTACCCTGAGTCTAAATGCTGACAGTGTTTGTCCTGAGGATGTTTATATTTCAGATCACCATTGCATTTTCTTTACCTTGTCAGTTTCTGCGTCCCCACCTCCTGCTCGCCGTATGGTTAGTTCTCGTTTTCTTAATGAGAGCACAGTTAGCAATTTTTCTGCTGCTTTTGATCCACCCTGTTCTTCTGATAACAACCCAGATTCCTTAACTTCTCAGTTTAACGAGCACTGCCTCTCCATTCTTGACAACATCTGTCCTGTCAGAACCAGATCAGTTCCTGCATTGAACCCTACTCCCTGGTTTAATGACAGCCTTCGCAGCCTGAAGCGCCAATGCAGAAAAATTGAGCACTTGTGGAAGAAAACCCGTCTCCACGTCCATCTGCTGCACCTAAAGGATCTTCTGTCATCCTTTAACTCTGCAGTCAGAGACGCTAGGGTTTCCTATTTCTCCAACCTGGTGTCCCAGAGCAAAGGGAACCCAAAGGTGCTGTTTAACACCATCAGCAGCATTGTCTCTCCTGCCTCTCCTACAGCCTCCATCCACTCTGTTGCAGACTGTGAGAACTTTCTGTCTTTCTTTGTGGACAAAGTCAATAAGGTTAGATCTAGCATCTCTCCTTCAGCCTTATCGCCGCCTCTCCTGACTCCAACCAGGCCCATCATCCTAGATAGCTTTGCTCCTGTTTCTCTGCCTGAGTTAACCAAACTAGTTAACTCTATGAAGACCTCTGCATGCCCCCTCGACATCTTACCCTCATCTTTGTTTAAAAGTGCTTTTCAGTCTATCGGTCCTAGCGTGCTCTCTGTAATTAATGCTTCTCTGGCTTCTGGTCAGGTCCCTGCTTACTTTAAGAACGCTGTAATCCACCCGCTTCTTAAAAAACCGAGTCTCGACCCCTCTCTCCATAGCAGCTTCAGACCCATCTCTAAACTTCCGTTCATCTCAAAGATCTTGGAAAAGGTTGTGGCTAAACAACTCACAGCTGCTCTTGATGAACATAACATCTATGACTGCTTCCAGTCAGGTTTTCGTAGAGCTCATTCTACTGAAACAGCTCTTCTTAGGGTCTCTAATGACCTTCTGACTCACAGTGATGCAGGGGACTGTTCTGTTCTGGTCCTGCTGGACCTGACTGCAGCCTTTGACACTGTTGACCATCACCTGCTACTGGAGAGGCTGAGAGACTGGGTAGGCCTATCAGGATCTGCTCTGGAGTGGTTCTCCTCTTATCTTTCTGAGCGCTCCTTTTCTGTGGCTGTCTCCAAGTTTAGGTCCTCCACCACCACCACCTCTCTTACCCATGGTGTCTCACAAGGTTCTGTGCTGGGGCCTCTGCTTTTCCTCCTCTATCTGCTTCCTCTTCAGCACATCCTGAGCTCCTTCAAGGGAATCTCCTACCATCTTTACGCAGATGACATCCAACTGTACATCTCCTTTAAGCCCCATGAGATGTCTAAGCTGCAGCTGTTACACACCTGCTTAGACTCTATCAAAGCCTGGATGGCTGGGAGCTTTCTACAGCTGAATGAAGATAAGACTGAGATTCTCATCTGTGCCCCAGACAAGCTGGTTCCCAAAGTCAGAGACTCTCTTGTTCAGCTTGCTTCTCGCACCAAACCTTCTGTCAGGAATCTTGGCATGACCTTTGACCCAGCTCTCACCCTGGATTCTCATGTCAGTTCTCTTGTTCGCTCTTCCTTCTTCCATCTCAGGAACATTGCTAAGCTGAGTCCCATTCTGTCTCGCTCTGAACTTGAGACAGTTATCCACACCTTCATCTCCTCACGCTTAGACTACTGTAACTCTCTTTTCACGTGTCTGAGCAGAACCTCCCTGAACTATCTACAGGTGGTTCAGAATGCCTGTGCTCGGCTTCTGACCAAGTCCTCCAAATATACCCACATCACCCCGCTTCTCCTCCAGCTTCACTGGCTGCCAGTCAACTTCATGGTTCATTTCAAGATCCTGGTTCTGGTCTATAGGGCCCTACATGGACAAGCACCATCTTACATTGGTGATCTTCTTAGTCCCTACATCCCCAGCAGGTCCCTGAGGTCCAGTGATCAAAGCCTACTGGTTGTGCAGCGCACCAGGCTAAAGACCAAAGGTGACAGATCATTTGCTGCTGTGGCCCCCAGACTCTGGAACTCTCTCCCCCTGAGCCTGAGATCAGTGGACTCAGTGGTCTCCTTCAAAAAGCAGCTGAAGACTCACCTGTTCAAGCTGGCTTTTGTATGACCTTCTTCACCACTCTCTCTTTATTCTGCTCTCGCCACCTATTCCACCTTCCTCAGGATCCACTGATTTCCCTCTTTCCTATTCACTCTCTCTCTTTCTTTACATTTTTTTCTTTTAAATCGCAATAGCTTATTCTTGCTCATTTTAAATATATTTTTAAACATTTTCGAAATGCTTTTTTATATATTTACAATTTTTATATTTTTTGTTTTTGTGAAGCACCTCGTGATTTTTATCTTGAGAGGCGCTATAGAAATGATATTTTCTTCTTCTTCTTCTTCTTTAGTTAATCCGTCCACTCCGATTTGCTAAGAATTATAAACAACTAAGTTAATAAAACAGAGCAACGCCATTTTAACTTCAGTTCCATCTGAGTTCCATCAGAGAGTCAACGTAGTTCCAACCAGCTCTCAAATCCATCATCGCTAAGTGAAGTGCAGACTGGCCAGCTGCATTTTCTACTTTTAAGCTGAGAACTGTCAAGCTGGAAAATTCTGTCGTTTTATCAACAAGACGACGGTTCCTTCAGAATAAAAGCTGAACTCGCTGACACCTGCCGCTGCTACCGGGAGTCGATCCGTAGACTGGTTTTGTCGTGCTGCAGACGCTGTGCTATCAGTTCCAGCACCAAGGAGGGTCCGAGGACCTGGCATTACGGATCATACACGGAAGTCTCCGAAGGTACGTAGTTCGGCATAGATGGCGTTTCATGTCTCTTCCTCCTGAAGTCCCTTGTGGTTAGTTAGTCAAAACAACACCTTACACTCAGACTCACCCCGCATCAGATGGAGGTTCTGAACTGACACACACACGCCAACACTTCAGCATCCAAATCCATATGCATCCATCATTATAGAGTTTGTCCTGGTGATTGTTTTGAATAATAATTATGAAATTAAATATTCTTAAACATCCCATCTCTCTCTCTTTTCTTGTCTCTAAGTCAATGCAAAGTGTTTAAATAAAACTCCCTGAAGTAAAAACAACATCTTCTGATTAGAAGGGCCCAGTCCAGAGATTAATCTCTGAACGTAATAAAAGTGTAAGTATATACCAACTATATTCCGCTAAATAATATAGGCCATTTTAGTGGATGTTATTGTTCCTTTATGCCCAGATCATATCTGTAGAACTCATAACTTCACAGGAAATTTTTGGCCAAGCTGTGTGATCGGTTTCAGTAATCAACATTCTTTGAATTCGTGATTGGAAGCAAAAAAACTTGATCAGAGCATCCCTAGATATGGCTTTTCCCATGTATGTACATTTTATTTATATAGCACTCATCACAGACAGAAAATCACATGGTGTTTCACATAGATCAAAACAAATCATTAAGTCATAAAATCATAGTGATCTTAAAATAGAAATAAAAATCTAAGTCACATATTTATAAAATACCATTAAACAAAGGAAAGATGATTACAAATTTAAGTTAACAATAAGAAAATACAATATTTAGAAACAGCAGCTTTAAATGAAAGGGTCTTCTGCTGTTTTTTTTTTTAAAGTGTCCAGACTGTCAAGACTACGTAAGGCTAAAAGGAGGACCACTCCAATGTCAGGGTGCAACAGTCTGGAAGGAGCCATCACCTGGACTTCTATAATTGGTCTTTGGAAATTCTAGAAGGTTCTAGTTTGTGGACCTGAGGGCTCGGGTTGGAGTATGAGGCTTTAGAAATTCAATGATATAATGTGAGTTCTCATGTGTCTAGTCAAGGAACTACTGACACTAAAACATTTACCACAAGTTTTACACAAATATGGCTTCTCACCTGTGTGAGTTCTCATGTGTTTAGTCAAGGAACTACTGACACTAAAACATTTACCACAAGTTTTACACGAATATGGCTTCTCACCTGTGTGAGTTCTCATGTGTCTAGTCAAGGAACTAAAGACACTAAAACATTTACCACAAGTTTTACATGAATATGGCTTCTTACCTGTGTGAGTTCTCATGTGTTTAGTCAAGTGACCTCTGACACTAAAACATTTACCACAAGTTTTACATGGATATAGCTTCTTACCTGTGTGAGTTCTCATGTGTCTAGTCAAGGAACCACCGTCACTAAAACATTTACCACAAGTTTTACATGAATATGGCTTCTCACCTGTGTGAATTCTCATGTGTCTAGTCAAGGAACTACTGTCACTAAAACATTTACCACAAGTTTTACACGAATATGGCTTCTCACCTGTGTGAGTTCTCATGTGTGTAGTCAAGTGACCTCTGACAATAAAACATTTACCACAAGTTTTACACGAATATGGCTTCTCACCTGTGTGAGTTCTCATGTGTGTAGTCAAGTGACCTCTGACAATAAAACATTTACCACAAGTTTCACATGGATATGGCTTCTTACCTGTGTGAGTTCTCATGTGCCTTTTTTGTTTTTTATCATCTACACTGTCTCTGTGATCTTTGGATTGGCATATTTTATTACGTGTCAGTTCTTCATTGCTGTTTGTTTTTGAGTTTTCTTTCCTGCATCCACCCTGATCTTGGTTCACAGCTTCTGTAGTACTCTGACACAAGGGTTGGTTCTTGTTTGGTTCTGGTTCATGACAGTCTGTTTCTTCAGAAGAAGTCTCCATGAAGGTAACAACTTCCTGCTTCAGAAGGAACTGCCCTTCATGCTGATGGATAAGGAGTTCTTGTTGTTCCTCTTTCATCAGTGGAGGTTCTGGTTCCTTCTGGTCCAAACTGGAGGTCCATTTCTGTTTAGAGAGCTGCCGGTCAGTTAGAGCCATCTTGTTTTCCCAGGCATGATGCTGTGGAAGTTCTGGACAGGATAAAAGACAAAACAAAATGTAGATTAATGTGAATAAAAAAAAACTCTCGTGTTTGGACAAAGCTTCTCATTCAACGTGTTTTTTTTATTTTCATGACCATGATCCATGAGCACTGGGCGATTCTAACTGAAGGCATTAAAATTATGAATTAATACATGTGGAGTTATGTACTTAACCAAAACGGTGAAATATCTGAAAACATGTTTTATATTCTATTTTCTTCAAAATAGTCACCCTTTGCTCTGATTACTGCTTTCCACACTCTTGGCATTCTCTTGATGATCTTCAAGAGGGAGTCACCTGAAATGGTTTTCCAACTGTGTTGAAGAAGTTCCCAGAGGTGTTTAGCACTTATTGGCCCCTTTGTAAATGGTCATGAAAATAAAGAAAACATATTGAATGAGAAGATATATATATATATATATATATATATATATATATATATATATATATATATATATATATATATATATGTATATGCATATATAAATTGTAGCGTCACGAAATGTCCTGTTTTTGGCCTAAAAGGTCATGCTCTGCTGCGTCTGCTCGAGCGGAGAGGTGATGTCTCCGTCGGGAGGCCTAATCTACATGAGATATTGGCCCAAGGCCTTTCATGCCCTCTGCTCATCTAAACTGCTTCACCTCCTTACAGCTCAAGACTAGACGGAGAACTCTTTTGATAAATACATAATCAAACAACGTTTGTTATTGCAAATTATAATGTGAATCAGATGTTCAATCATTTTGTGAAATGACAATGTATTACTTGATATTATAATCCTGTGATCAGTAGTTGTTACGTGCCGTGTCCCTTTTCGGCCACAAGATGGCCTCAGTGGCCTTTGTCTCGCCCGTCTCCCGGTGCCCAGCTGTTCCAAATCATTGATGATCACTTGGCAGCAGTTAAAAGCTGCTCCCAGCCACCAGTTCGAGGAGAAGTTCAAGGGTAGTGTAGACTGGGAACAGTTTATACTATTCTCTTCTCCTCGGTTCGCTTTTGGTACAACTCAGTTCACTCTCTAGTCTTCGATTTGCTCTCAATAGGATTTCGGATTTCGATTTAGGATTAGACCATTTGGCGTATAGACTTCGGACCGGCTTTAGACCCTGACCTCGGTTCTCCCTTTTTGAATATATGTATATATTATTCTCGGTTTTCTTCCCACCCCCTTCTGGAGTGGCGTTTTCCGTTTCTCCCTTTTTAAATATAGCTCCTTTTGTTTTGTATATAGTATTGTTTTTTGGATTCTTTGTAAATATTCCATTCATTTTGTAATAAATCCCTTGTTTTTTAGCGACACAGCACTTGTGTTTATATTTATGTAAATAAATGTTGTTTTGTTACTTTTAACACGAGAACATGCGTCCTCAATTGTTACCTCAGGCCCCCTAGACAGCCTGGATCGTAACCCGGTCCTACGCCGGTACGGATGCACCCCTACCGCGCCAGTCCTCATAAGTGTGAGTTAATGAAGCAAGAGGTAAATTACTTGAGCATGAACGGCCTAGCAAAACCAAGCACCAGCTCATGGAGTTCGTCCTATCTGTGAGAAGATAAACCTGATGGTACTTATAGATTTGTCACAGATTATCGTAAGCTAAACGCTTCCACTTTTCCTGACTCGTTCCCGTTACCTCAGATTGACGACTGTGTCGATAGTGTGGGGGCAGCGACTTTTGTGTCTAGACTGGACCTTTTAAAAGGGTACTGGCAAGTCCCGCTAACCCCTTTTGCATCTAAGGTCTCGGCTTTTGTGACTCCGGATAATCTGTTGCAGTATACGGTGTTGCCCTTTGGCATGAGAAATGCTCCGGCTACCTTCCAGAGGCTCGTAAACCACGTGTTGGGTGATATACCCTGTTGTAGCGCGTATCTGGATGAATTGTCATTTATATGTCGTCGTGGGATATGCATTCAGACTCTTCAGCAAGTGTTCGTTCGCCTGAAATTTGCTAACCTCACTCTGAATCTAGCTAAATGTGAGTTTGTGAAAGCCACGGTCCGCTACCTAGGAAAAGAAGTTGGTCATGGCCAGGTACGGGCCTTATCAGATAAGATCCAAGCCATGGTCTCATTTCCGCCTCCAACCACCCGCCGTGAGCTTCGACGATTTCTCGGCATGGCTGGGTTCTATAGATGTTTCTGCCGCAACTTCTCAGTGGTAGCTCAGCCCCTCACTGATATGCTCAGTACTCGCGTCCCTTTCTCCTAGACCCCGGAGTGCCAAAGTGATCTTGTGTCTGCAAAAATTACTCTGTTGTGCTCCTGTCTTAGCTGCTCCAGATCTCACCCGACATTTCAAGTTGGAGGTTGACGCCAGCCAAGCAGGGGCTGGAGCTGTCCTCATCCAGGAGGATGCCAATGGACTTCGTCACCCCGTGTGCTACTTTTCCCAGAAATTCAACTAAACTACTCTACAATAGTAAAGGAAACAATAGCTCTCATCTGGGCTCTGCAACATTTCCATGTTTATGTTGGGAACAGTAAATTTGCCACTCTGGTTTTCACAGATCACAACCCCCTCGTCTTCTTGTCCCGAATGTACAATCACAACCAGCGGCTGATGCGGTGGGCACTTTTGCTACAAGAATTCAACTTGGAGATTCGGCACAAGAAGGGATCTGAGAACATCATCGCTGACGCTTTATCATGCGGCTTTACTCATGAGGCTCCCTTGTAGGCTTTTGTTTTTAGATGTCGGATCCTCCTATAAGGCTAGTGTTGTCTGTGAAAGTAGACATCTCGGGAACACTCCTCTGCGCTGGGGAACAGCGCTGCGTGATTATTTGTGTTTAATCTGCCCGCCTTGAGAAGATCCAGGGGTGGTTAGTTTTTTTTTTTGTGTGTTTAGGATAGCGGGAGACCTCGTTTCTTTTGAATAAATGTTGGCCCTTTTAAGACCCCCCATTTGTTCTCTTAAGAGGGGGGGGGGGGGGGGGGGGTTACTTGCCGTGTCCCTTTTCGGCCACAAGATGGCCTCAGTGGCCTTTGTCTCGCCCGTCTCCCAGTGCCCACCTGTTCCAAATCATTGCTGATCACTTGGCAGCAGTTAAAAGCTGCTCGCAGCCACCAGTTCGAGGAGAAGTTCAATGGTAGTGTAGACTGGGAACAGTTTATACTATTCTCCTCGGTTTGCTTTTGGTACAACTCGGTTCACTCACTAGTCTTCGGTTTGCTCTCAATAGGATTTCGGATTTGGATTTAGGATTAGACCATTTGGCGTATAGACTTCGGACCGGCTTTAGACCCTGACCTCGGATCTCCCTTTTTGAATATATATATTTATTATTCTCAGTTTTCTTCCCAACCCCTTCTGGGGTGGCATTTTCAGTTTCTCCCTTTTTAAATATAGCTCCTTTTGTTTTGTATATAGTATTGTTTTTTGGATTCTTTGTAAATATTCAATTCATTTTGTAATAAATCCCTTGTTTTTTAGCGACATAGCACTCTGTTATTATTTATCCCACACACTAATTTTATTACTCCCCTCCTCATCTCTCCTAGAGAGCCGGGGACGTAATAGTAGTACTTAATTATAATTTTGGACAGCTGCACTAGACACGTTGACACAGAGTTATGTTAAGTCACATTTCACATTTCCTTTTGTCTGATACAATCAGAACCTACGTTTCTGATGTCAGGCGTGGTTTTCTGTGGTGTCTGTATAAGCCCTCTTTTGCATGTCAAATTCTGATTCCCCAGTAAACCAAAATATGACATTTATAAAAACTATTCCCACGTCACCTTTACTTCAGTCTAAAGCGTTCTAGAGAAGTTTCGGACAGGCCATCCGGAACCTTTACAACCATAAGAACCTTGACAAGCTGGATAAAATCTGTTGCACGTTACACCTGACCGCAGCGGTTCCTTCAGAATAAAAGCTGAACCTCACGACCCCTTCAGGGTCTCGCTGACGCCAATAATAACCTGTCGTGACCTGGAAGCATTCCAAGACTAGTCTGGTCGGCACTGCTGCTGTCTCTACCGGCTTCGGTACCATGGAAGGTCCACGGACCTCGACATTCTGGATCTGAACGGAGGCTTCCCTTGTGGGTATGTAGACCGACAGATGGCGTTTAATGTGTTTTATAAATCACCAACCGTAATTTAGAGCGAAACATTCGCTCCCACTCAGAACTAATTGCTTCTCCGGAAACGCGAGTTCTGAAAACAACATTCCACACATACACCATTCATCTCACGTCTCATTCAACTCAATTCAAAAATACTTTATTAATCCCAGAGGGAAACTGATTAACTCCACCTAGATTAATTGATTAATTCCACCTAGTTTCATCAGTACACTGAGTAATTACAGTTAGACTTGTTTAAAGTGTGTAGAAATAAATTTCTTAACTATAAAAAACCTGACTCTCTCTCTTTTAATGAGTTAATAGAAAGTGTCCAGTAATCACTGAAATAAAAAGTTCTGATCTTCTGGTTAAAATACTCAAAGATCTATCAAACCGATATTTCATATTTCTATGGAATCTCACATTTTATGGTTCATAAGTAAGATGTAAACTACCCATCATTACTATATATATATATATATATATATATATATACAGTGGGGCAAAAAAGTATTTAGTCAGCCGCCGATTGTGCAAGTTCTCCCACTTAAAATGATGACAGAAGTCAGTAATTTACATCATAGGTACACTTCAACTGTGAGAGACAGAATGTGAAAAAAATCCATGAATTCACATGGCGGGATTTTTAAAGAATTTATTTGTAAATCAGGGTGGAAAATAAGTATTTGGTCACTTCAAACAAGGAAAATCTCTGGCTCTCACAGACCTGTAACGTCTTTTTAAGAAGCTTTTCTGTCCTCCACTCATTACCTGTATTAATGGCACCTGTTTGAACACATTATCTGTATAAAAGACACCTGTCCACAGCCTCAAACAGTCAGACTCCAAACTCCACTATGGCCAAGACCAAAGAGCGTTCGAAGGACACCAGGAAAAGAATTGTAGACCTGCA